TAACAATATAATATATAATAACTAGGGTCACTTAACTAGGGCTTATTTTCCCCGAAAATAAGACCTAACCTGAAATTAAGCCCTAGTATGATTTTTCAGGATGCTCGTAATATAAGCCCTACCCCCAAAATAAGCCCCATTTAAGTAGAACCCCGCCCTCCACCATTGTGCAGCAACCAGAAGATGATGACATGACTGTATTGGAATAAATGTAGATGGTTGTACATGAAAGAAATAAAACATCTCCTGAAAATAAGCCCTAATGCGTTTTTTTGGGAGCAAAAATTAATATAAGACCCTGTCTTATTTTCGGGGAAACACGGTCTTTATATAGTATCTGGAAATTGTTTCTGTTTTATAGTTTTATATGTTGTGAGCTCTGCCTAGGTTTCTCTATGGGGAGAAAGGCACATACAAATGAATGAATGAATGAATGAATGAATGAATGAATGAATGAATGAATGAATGAATGAATGAATGAATGAATGAATGAATGAATGAATGAATGAATAGTACAGCTCACATCTGCTCTGACCATTGGCCCAGCTGGCTGGAGCTGATGTGATTTCAGTGATATTCAAAAGATCAATAGCTTAACACCCTGACTCTAACTATTGATCTTCATTCACAACGTAGGTTCAAACTATCTGAACGAGTCCTCCAGACACATATGAATATTCTCAGATAAGGGTCTCCTCTTGCTCCCATCTTTCTGACAAGCATATCTGGTGGGAAGCTGAGTGGGACCTTTTTTGTGGTTGTTCCCACAATATGGAACCCCTTCCCTCAGTAGCTCCTTCCTTCCTTCCTTTCCTTCCATCAGCAGGTGAAAACATATCTCTTTAGAAAAGCTTTAAGGGAGCCGGGAGGCAATTAAGATGAGGGGATCCTTTAAAATTTTAAAACACTGTGTTAAATGCAGAGTATATTAATCTTGATTGATTTGTTTTAACTAATTGTTGATATTCCTTCTCATTGTATGCCAATTTTGGGGACCCATCTAGGGAGAAAAGTGGAATTAAAATAAAATAAACAAAAAAATACATGGCTTTGTGCCCATCATCATCTTGGCTTTTCAAATTAATTTGAAAATATTTTGTGAATATAATAATAGAATTAAATAATAATAATAGAATGACAGAGTCCTTAGTTTACACATTATCATTATTCAACCCTAACTTGCAATATCATTCTTCTACTGAGGATATTTCAAAACTCTTTCAGTATTGTTTTGTGATTTCCTTTCATTTTGTTTCTGTTCTATTTTTGCTGATGGCAAACTCTTTTTCAGGAGAATGGGATGACAGAGTACGAGGTGGTTGGACAGTGTCATCAAAGATACCACCATGAATTTGACCCAACTCCGGGAGGCAGTGGAAGACAGGAGGGCCTGGCGTGCTCTGGTCCATGGGGTCACGAAGAGTCGGACATGACTAAACGACTAAAGAACAACAACAATGACATTTGTTTTAATGTTCAACTGTAGCCCTGCTTTAGCACTTGCTTCTTTCCCTTTCATTAAAAGCCATTTCAAGTCATTGCTGCTTTCTGCCCGCTGGACGTTTGTTGCTTCCACCAACTTTCACTCCTCCTTCATCTGAATCTAGTCTGGCTTTCCGTACGTTCTGTTCTGCCTACAGAATGAACACATAACTTTGCCATTATTTTTCTCCTTTCGCTCTTTTTTTTAATACCAAGAAGGTTCAGAGTTGACCCATTTTTTCTGCGTCTTGCCATAAAGGATAAGACAAACTTCCTCTTAGAAAAAGGGGAGTGGGTGGGGGTTTCGTTTTATTGTTCTCTCCACCGGGAGCCAACCAGCAAGACACAATGGCATTTCTTTATTGCAGGAAATCTCCGGCAGGCGCAGGACGTCACCCTTTCTGCCTGGAGACGCTCAACGCGGAGTGCCAAAGCCGGTAAGTCTTCCAGTTTAAAGTGAAAACACAGGTGTTTAAGACCCAAATGGGAAAAGCGTTTTCCGACATTCATCAGGAAACACAAAACGGTAATTCCACCTCTATCCGTTTCAAAACAGAGGATTAGGACATAGGTTGTAGACTTCCACATGGCAGTGGGCCCATTCACAGCGCTAGATGGGGCTGATGGGCTTCGGAATCCAACCACATTTGGGGCACCGCAAGGCATTCACCCATTAAAAGGTCTTTCCGTAAAATCTTAAGAGGATTCCCGGTACACTTTGGTCAAAATCTTCTTGCTGTTCACGTAGCCGAAATTTACACGCCCAGGCGTTCTGATGAGTTTCGCTAAGAATTTATTGCCATTTTCTGGTTGCACAACTTAACGGTGGCAAATGGTTGCACAACACACACACACAACTGCTTGCAGGGCATGGTATCCACGTTCGCAAGGATTTTCCAACTTCCTGCACAAATTCAAGCGACACCGGAGTAGCTACCCAAGAGGATTTTGGCCCCCGTCTGCTTTTGTTCTCATGGATGATAATGCCCAGAAGGGCTGCTGTAGAATCTTTTTCCACCAACTTGATCCACAAAGTGAATTGTTTCTCCCTGCGTGATTCACGAATTATAGGTGCAATTTTAAGGATTTTGGCTCTCTCCACTCTGGTCGTTTCTTGCTAGCTGGTTTCCTATTTACGGCATCCTCATTTCCTTGACAGTTCCTTATAATCCTCCCTGAGAAGCTTTGATCTGTGACAATGCGCCTTACAACCCGTGATAATCCTGCGGCTTTTACAACAGGTTCATGCCATAGAGCAAACCAGAAATTGGTGTGTCTAGCACAGCCTTAGGTTCCCAGATGTTCTAGGACTACAACTCCCACAAATTCCTGGCCAGCACAGCTGGTGGTGAAGGCTTCTGGGAGTTTTAGTCCAGCAACATCTGGAGACCCAAGGTTGGGAACCACAGATCTAGCACAATCCTGCTTGATGGCCCCCAGATGTTTGACCCACACAATATCCATTATCCACAGGCAGCATGGCCACTGACTGGGAACGATAGGATTTGTAGTCCAGCAAGACTGGACAACGTGTCGCCCGTCACAAGCTGGAATCCTTTCCCCTCCCTACCCCATTTGCGTATTTTCTAAAAAGATGTTGAGCCTGAAAGCAGAGACTGACCAGTTTTTATTCAAATTTGATCCACTCACAAAAACATTTTTTAGCCTTTACAGCAGGGCATAAATACCATAAAATAAAAAAAAAGTAAATAAATAGATATGTACACACTGAAACAAATTCTTTTCCAGGAGATATATTTCTGCCTGGAAATACGGTAGTTTATCGTCTTGTTTATTTCATTCTTGCCCGTTGTTTTCAGCTTCAGCTCCCAGAATCCCCCACCATCAGCCACTCTACCTGGGGCTTCTGGGAACTGAAGTCCAAATCATGCTGGCTCGTTGGGTTAGGGCAAAATGGGGTGCTCCCCCCCCACCTCAGCCAGCCCCCCCTGTGTCCAAACTACGGAACGGAGGGTCAGGATTCTACCCGTCTTCCCCTCCAGTTGAATTCTCAATGTCATCCCACTCTTATTTATTTATTGATTGATTGATTGATTGATTGCATTTATGATTGATTGACTGACTGACTGACTGATTGATTGATTGATTGATTGATTGATTGATTGATTGATTGATTGATTGATTGCATTTATGTGCCGCCCATCTAGACATAGTCTACTCTGTGTGAGTTTGGCACAAAGAGAGAGAGAGAGAGACCGAGGGAGGATGAGAAAATAAAGATTAATGGCTAACCTAACTACCCAACTTTGAAACCAGGCACAGGGAGACGGAGGAGGAGACAGGAATATGGCTGATTTTAGGTGTCTATGTGTATGTGTACATGTGCGAGTCCTTCTTTACTTGTGCGAGCGCATGGGCGTGCATGTTCCACCTTGGTGCAACAAGAAATTCCGTGCCTCTAACATATTTAGAGACCTTCGGGTAGTGTGGGTGGCATATAGGGTAAATAAATAAATAAATAAATAAATAAATAAATGAACAAACAAACAAATAAATAAATAAATAATATCTGGGGCCGCCTTTCCACTCCATTTAGAATCTGCCCCCCACACACATACTGCTCCTCGGTCGGCCTAAAGGTAGGGAGCACAATTTCTTAATAAATAAATACGAATAATCGAATTTGGCCCCTGGACTGAGCTTTCTACCTGAACCCCTGGATCGCTCAGCGGCTTAGGCAGACGTAGGGAGTTCGATCCCCCAACTGGGTCTCCTTGGACGGGTTTGGACTCAATGACCCACAGGGTCCTTTCCAGCGGTGCAATCATCATCATCATCATCGTCTTGGACACCAAACACTTCACAGCCTACTCTTGTCTTCCTTTCCCTAAACTTATGGGGTGTTCTTTCCCCGTCCCACTTGCCCCCAACAAGACTCGCAAATAAAATAAAATTAAACCCTTCCTGTCCTTGCCTGCTTTAACCCTCGTTCCGCACGACTCTAAAGGGCCCGATCCACCACCACCACTTCCTTCTGAGCAGTCACGATGGCCAACCCTCCTTTCTGGAAATCAGGGAAGCCCCCATTCACACCCCCACATTCCTCGTGCTTTCTTTGGCAATCCGAAGGACCCGATGCACCCCCCGGTCCAGAACTGGCTGGCTTCAAAACCCGGTTCCCTTTTTCCCTTTCACACGCACACACCCCACCCGGGTTCAAATCCTGCTCGCCCGCCCCGTCTCAGAGGCTGACTCAGCTGCCCGCGTGCCGAGGCGCCTTTCTTTCCCACCGCGCCCTGATTGGCCGACAGCGGGACCCTCCCGGCTTCTGATTGGCCCTGGCGGGAAGAGGCGCCTCCCCCGCCTTTTTCCCCCTCCCGGGCAGGGATAAAAAGACTCCCGTCGAACCTCGGCGTTCCAGACGCGCTCCGGATCGCGGCCAAGAACCTGAAGAGGAATTGAGGCGTGCGCGCGGGCTCCAAAGCACAAAAAAGGGGGAAATCGGAGCCCGAGAAGCGCCTTTTTTTCTTGGGATCGTCTGAAAAGGGGACCGGGCATCTCAAGCCATGGCCTCCGGAGCGGTGCAGATCCTGGGCTTGACGCTGAGCGTGCTGGGCTGGGTGGGGGCCATCCTGGTGGCCAGCTTGCCCATGTGGCAAGTGTCGGCGTACCTCGAGAGCAACATCGTGGTGGCCCAGACGACGTGGGAGGGCCTGTGGATGGCGTGCGTGGTCCAGAGCACCGGGCAGATGCAGTGCAAGGTCTTCGACTCCATCCTGGCCCTCAGCCCGGAGGTGCAAGCCGGCCGGACCCTGATGGTCATCGGGGGCTTGATGGGGCTGGTGGCCCTGATGGTGACGGTGGTGGGCGCCCAGTGCACCACCTGCGTGCGGGCCGGCAAGGTCAAGGACTGGGTGGCGGCGGTAGGGGGCGCCCTCTTCCTGGTGTGCGGACTCCTGGTCCTGGTGCCCCCGTGCTGGTTCGCCAACATCATCATCAGCAACTTCTACGACCCCACCGTCCAAGCCTCGCAGAAGCGCGAGATGGGGGCCGCCCTCTACCTGGGCTGGGCGGCCGCCTTCCTCCTCTTCCTCGGAGGGTCGCTCATCTGCGCATCATCCTGCGCCCGCAAAGGTGACCTCTCCGCTTTTCCCGTCAAATATTCCGCCCCCCGACGGCCCACCAGCACTGCCAACGGGGAGTACGACAAGAAGAACTACGTCTGAGAAGCCATTTTTTGGGGGGGATCAGGATGGGACCCCCAAAGTGACTCTGAAGATGGGGGGCTACCCCACCCATCCAACCCCAATTGAAGGGGGATAGTAGGAGAGGGTGGTGTGGACACAAAAACTTTGGAGGTCTCTAATCCAGGATCAGCCACGCTGGACTCTTCTCCCTGGACCTGCTTGCTTTGTGCCTTTCAGAACATTAAAAATAAAAAACTGCAAAAGAAGAATTTTTCTAAAAGATCCAGGAATTTTTCCCCCCCTAAAAGATCCAGGAACTCCACCCTTGTCTTTAGGACTGGTCTGATTGGCTTGTGCGTTGGGATTTTGCATCACGCTAGTCCTCATCGAGAAGAGAACGATGCTTTGCGTCTCTTCTTCACCAGAAGCCTTCGGGGGAAAACGCTTCTTCCAAAAAAGCGACCCACACCGTTGACTTCTTTTCAATGATGGGCAAAATTGGGAGATTGAACTTCTTCTGGCCCATAGAGGTGTTGCTTTGTTTCTTAACTGGAAGCATTGGGGGGGGGGTTGAATAGCCACACCCCATCTCTCTCTCTAAAATGTAAACGGAAAGTTTGAAGTCTTTAAAAGTATTGTTTTTGCAGTGTTTAGGGTCACCCTTAGTGAGTTTATCTTTGGCAAAACCAACCTACTGATTGGAAATAAGAAATATCTCAGAGGTTCACACACACCCCTGCACTGATCAAAGGGATGGAGGGGGTTGTTAATTACATTTAGGAGCAATGTTTAGATGTAAAATTGGTTTCCGATGATTCGCTTCATTTTGATGGGGAAGCCAGGCGTATTAGATCTTTTTAAACAAATGTTGCTCTCTAGTTGCATTTTTTAGAAACCCATTAATGGGGGGGTTAGCTGCCTGTTGGGTTAAATTAAGCCTCTGGAATTGTGTCAGACTCGTTAGAGAAAGTGACTGGCAGGTCACCATGTCTGATCAAACAGCAGGGTAAGATTTCCTCCTTTTAAACTGTTTTTTCTTTGAACATGCATGATAGAGTAATTAATGTTAAGTTGTGCGCCAAAAGAGGTTAGACTTGATTTTTCAAAAATGCAAACCATTAAAGTATTGCGGCTTTTTCCTATTTTTAAAAAAAATTTCTTGCAAATAAACTCAGTCCCAGGTCTGAAAAAACGGTTTAAAAGGATCCATTTTTACTACCGATGAAAAAGTTTTGACCTAGCATTCTGAACCTTTGTCTGTTCTTGTAAAACTTTTTTGAGATTTGGCACAGGAGATGTTGCTGGTACTGGATTTGATGCAATTTCACACCCTACCCTCCGTCTACTGCAGTTCTCAGCAGTGTGTTTTCAAATCAAATACCTTTGTATTAATTTTATACACCTGTTTGTTTGTTTATTTATTATCTATATATGATGGCTGCATGTCTATTTTTTTTTAAGTGACGAGTTGAATAAAAATTATTTGCTCAGGTAGCAAAAAAAAAAATTATATCTCTGTTCCTGAATTTACTTATTCTTGAAGAATACCCAATGCTTTTAGAATATGTTTTAGCAAAATAGTGCCTTACTCTGCTTTCTCTGTTTCATTGAAGAACAAGAAAAAATCTTTCAGCACCTCTAAAAACTACCAAATGTATTAGAGAAAAATGGAGGGGTTTAGATACCTGGCTATGGATCCAGTGGTCACGAGTTCAATTCCCCACTGAGCCCTCCTAGGATTACAGCCAGCCTGGGTAGCCTTGGGCAAGCTGCACAGTCCCAGGGCTCCCCCTAGAGGAAAGGAATGGTACACCACTTCTGAGTATTCCCCCACTTGGAAAACCCTGAAAAGTCAGCGCATTGACTTGACATCACATGATTATAGAAGGGGGTTCAACAGGCAGAATAAAGGCAAGTATCTTTGACTACATTGACACAGAGCTGACTCTGAACTCTTGAAATGCAGTCCGGTTTCAGCAGTCTTCTCTTTCCATGCTGATCTCAAACATTTATTTAGCTTCAAGAGTCCGAGAACAGTTGCTTGGCGGTACAAGGAATTAGCTCCTACAGCTTGGCGTAGTTTACCTCTACGGTCTCTGCTCTTTTCAATGTTGCTTGGCATCTGCTTTGTTCCCATACTTTTTCATTTGTTCTCCCCACTGGTGTGCCAGGGGCTAAAAAATCCTTCCGAAGAAGGGTGGGTTTCTCAAACAACCTCCAAATCCCGGAACAGATGCCAGCATTCTGAAACGGATTTTACATGAAAAGCAAAGCCTTCATCTGAGCGATGATGTTTTCCTGTTGAATAAACAGCCTTGCCCATTTTCGCAGCCCTCTGCTGTACGAAAACAAAACGCAAATTCCTTAGTGCCAGGGTGGGACCGGGGACTGCCAGGGAATGCTGATCCGATCTTAAGTGGCCTTCAGCAGCAAGAGAATGTGGATTAGAAGATGCATAAAGCGGAAATTTAAAGGATGGAGGGTGGTTTCCAGCAGGGTTGGAAACTTCTTAGTTTAGGAAGAAGAGAGTTTAAAATGACCCATGATATGAACATCGCTGGAGAGAACCTTTCCTCCTAGAAGTGCAGGATTTATTTAAAATATTTTATCCCACCTTTTTTTTCCTTAAAAAGAACTCAAAAGCGGCTTACATCATTAAAAAGACAATGTTTAAAAGATTTTTAAAAGTGGGTATACAAATATTTTAGAACGAAACAAATTACATTTAAACAATAATAAAGTCAATACTGAAACACATTTAAAACGAGGACTTTGCTTGCTTGCGGAAGGACAGCGATGATGGAGCCAGCCTAGATTCCCATGGGAGGGAGTTCCCGAGCCTGGGAGCAGCGACAGAGAATTTGGGATTGACAATACATTTGGACACAATTTGGAAAAAGTTAACTTTTGGAGCATCGTAGTGCCCGGGAAGTCATTTTTCTAGACTGGGTTTAAGAAGAGGCATAATGGTAGTTAATACGGAGCTCTTACTATCACACAACTGTGAGGAGGATTCTTTAAAAGCCTATTAGACTAATTCAGGGATAAACCTACAGTATTGGTGATGGTTGTGTGGAACCTCTATGTTCAGGAGCAATCTATCCCTCAATACCAGATGTGTTAACGGGGAAGAAGTATAACTTCCCCAGCTGGAGGATTCTGAGAAAGAGGAATATGAGACTGTACGTGGAAGGAAACTAGATGTGGTGGACTTTTAATTTCATCTAGCAGGTCTTGTGTTTGTAAGAATTCAAGACTCATATTGGCAACTTTTTCACCTGTGGCACTCAATCTCTACAGGGGGGCTAAACTGCCTCTCTGCAATAGGAAACTCTGTACCCCCCCAAAAAGTTTCAATAGTACAGGGTGAACAATCTGTGGCTGGGTGTGGATCCGGGAACATCTGGATGCCCCTGAATTGGTGACAATCACTATTGCCCCTGAACGCTTACACTGCATGACTCTTGTAGTTCAGTCTAAAGCAATGGTTCCCAACCTTGGGTCCCCAGATGTTCTTGGACTACAACTCCCAAAAGCCTTCACCCCTAGCTGTGCCGGGCAGGATTTCTGGGAGCTGTTGACCAAGAATATCGGAAGAAGCAAGTTTAGGAATGCCTACAAAGCAACATGGCTCTTGATTGTATTTCTGTTATACCAATGTAGCCTGGCTGTCTCTTTGGAAATTTTATGTCCTAAAAATTACTATATTTGGATCTTGAGACCGGCTGCCTTTGTCTGCAGGGGCAGAAAAATGATAAAGTGGCATCTCAGGGCGTTTGCAACATAGATCCATCCTCTTTTCACATTCCTTTACTCCTCTGCTCTAAGCAAAAGCTGTAGTTTGGCCATGTAGCCTGCAGAACCTCCCCAGTTCAATCCAGAGATTGGAGATGTTCCTGTTTTTAGACTAAAATGCAAAACCAGGTGATACCTTTACTATTTCAGGACCTGCAGTTTTTGGACTGCAGGTCCTGAAATCCTGAGCCAGCAAAGGAACCATCCTAAATTCTGCTTGAACCTCTTCTGCCTCCGGTGGAAAAGATCGCTCTGGCATACCTAGAGAGCCATTTCGGGAGAAGCCGTTCTGCGTCGGTGTCAGAATCCTTAATAATAAGTCCATCTGCCATCGGGTCAGCTCCAACTTCACCCTTTCCAGGGTCTTCGAAAGTATATGCTACTCCTGTTCAGCTTGGTCCGCCTCGCAAGGCTGTCGTGAAGATGATGCGGAGAGGCAGTGCTCTGACTCATAATTGAGATCTGTTTCCCTTCCAAGCTCCACAGTTTCATAGTGGTGCCTGTTCCACTTTTAATGCGGCTCACAGGCTCACAACATTAACAGGAGTTGCTGTGGGCCTTCTGATGCCTGTCTTGGGCGCGGTTCGTGTCATTTTAACTATAAGAACACAAGAAGGGCCCTGCTGGATCAGGCCACGGGCCCGTTCAATCCAGCTCCCTGTATCTCACAGGGGCCCCACCAGATGCCTCTGGGAGCCCACGAGCCCGCTAGGTCACTCTCTCCTGATCCCCCTCCCTTGCATCTGACATTTGGAGGTACCTTACCTTCCTTTGAAGCCTGGAGGTTATATATCCCCCTCATAGCTTGTCACCTGTGATGGACTTTTCCTCTAGAAATCTGTCCGATCCCCCTTTTCAAGGCATCTAGGCCAGATGCCATCACCACATCCTGTGGCAAGGAGTTCCACAGACGAACAAGACGCTGAGTAAATAAATATTTTATTTTGTCTGTCCTCAGTCTCCCTACACTCCATTGGAGTGGAGGTCCCCTGGTTGTGGGATTGTGTGAGAGGAGAAAGAGCTTCCCTCTATCCACTTTATCCACCCCCTACATAATTTTATACGTCTCAACCCCACAGGCACCTTTTCTCTAGACTCAAGAGCCCCACACGCTGCCGCCTTCCCTCACCAGGGGGGTGCCCCAGCCCAGTCATCATTTGAGCCCCTCTCTTCTGCCCCTTTTCCAGTGGCAAGGAGTTCCACAGACAAACAAGACACTGAGTAAATAAATACCATACGAGATAAGTTCCACGATATCTCGTATGAGGTGCGGCAACTAGAACTGCACGCAATACAAAGGCATTATAATGTTGGCTGTTTGCTTTTCAATCCCCTTTTTAATGATACCTCTATTATTTGATGTATTGGAAAAGGATGGATCTGCTCTCCCTCCCTATCGATACCCAGGGCAATGCGCAGAAGGAGTGACCATCAGAGATGTGCCTGTTTGTGAGCTTGGATAACAACTCCCAGTGTGTCCCCCCCACAACTGGGGGAGGGTGGCACTTGTAGTCCAAAAAAAGGGGGGGCTGTTCCCAAACTGTCTGCACCAGGTTTAAACCAGATTCTCCATGAAGGGGAAATGCACGAGCTGGCGGGCGAAGCGGAAAAGGAAGCTCTGGGTCACGTCTGGGGCAGGATGTTTACCATTTCCCTTTCCTGCACAGAGATGTATTCGTGAGGCATCTCGCCTTAGGAATATACTCTTCAGCTTCCTCAAGTCTTTGACTAATGACAGCACTGGGTTGTTCTGTGGCACAACATCATCTTAGAACCGCAGATCCGGAAGGGGCCCCTAAGGATCACCAAGACCTGCCCCTTGTCAAGGAGGCCCCGTGGGGGGGGGAATCGAACCCCTAACCTCTGGATCTGCAGCTGGAGACCTGAACCCCACAAAGCCACCCAGCACGACACGCATGAGAGTGGATTAAAGTGATCTTACAAAACAGAGGCACAAAAAAGATATTGGCTGGGTATCGAACCAGACGTGGGTTTCCTGCTCCCAAACATTGGGTGCTATTTCACTTCTCTGTTTTGACCCGATTTGCTCAGAGTCTTCCTACCACCCACCTTCAAATAAAGACTTCTGGCCAGGATCCTCTTGCCGATTTACATGTGCGTCAGTTAAATTGCACAAGTCACGACGGCTGAGTTGCCAGCACTGTAATTAACAAGCAGCTTCACAACGCACACTCATCCCAAACTGGAACCACCACCCTCTCTCTCTCTCTCAAAGGGGCTGTGCGGGGGGGGGAGTGCATGCGGGGGGGTGT